CAGGTCACCCCTCTGGGACCCAGGCATCCAGGCCCAGCCCCTCCTCCCTCAGATCCAGACACCCAGGGCTCCTCGCTCAGACCTGGGACTCCTCTCGGCCCACCCACGCGCCCCCTCCCCCACAGGCCCGCCCCTCCCCACCTGCCGCCCCCCCCAGCCCGCGCCCGCCTCGTCCTCGCAGTCGTCGTCGTCCTCCGGCGCCTGCGTGAAGGGCACGGCCTCGTGGGCCGCGTGGAAGCGCAGGCGGTAGAGCAGCCGCACCCACTGGCCGAACTCGCGGTCGCCGGTCTCGGGCCGGGGCCGCAGCTGCAGGTAGAAGGTGCGGCCGGTGCTGAACTTGACCTTGAGCTGCCGGCGGCTCTCGTTGTGGATGGAGAGCCGGACGAACTGTAAGGGGAACAGCCTGGGCGGGCGGGAGGGGCGGCCTCAGGTCCTGCCCCCCCCAGGGTCTCCCCCTCCCCCGCCCGGGGCTGGGCCGGTCCCCAGCCCGCCGCCCTCCCTGCGCCCCACGAGCCAGGTCAGCTTTCGTTGCCTCTTGAACTTCAGTCCAGCCCCGACTTCCTTTCACTTTTGAGTCGGGGCCTCACGCTGCCGCCCGGGCTGGAGTGCAGTGGCACGATCACGGCTCACCGCAGCCTCCACCTCCTGGGCTCAGGCGATCCTCCTGCCTCAGCCTCCCAGATAGCTGGGACTACAGGCGAGTGCCACCACGCTGGACTCATTTCTTGATCTTTTTTTTTCTGTAGAGACGGGGTCTCGCTATGTTGTCCAGGCTGCTCTTGGACTCCTGGCCTCAAGTGATCCTCCTGCCTCGGCCTCCCAAAGTGCTGGGAAGACAGCGTAAACCACTGCGCCGGACCCTCCCCAACTTTCTCCCGGCCACACATCTTTTTGCGTCCTGCTGGTCCTCTCTCCCAAGCTCCAGGCTGGAATACACAGCCCCTACCTGAAAAGGCTGTTTGGCTGCTGGATCGACCATCGGACGCACAACTTGTCCAACAGCCAAATTCCTGGTTTCCCCCCAGAACCTACCCCTCAGTCTTCCCATCTCAGCTCCGTCCCCCACTTGCTCAGGCAACACGCTTGGAGACGCTCCTGACTGACGTCCTCACACCCTCATCCAATCTCGCCGCCAAATCCTAGCTCCACCTCCCAAATGTGTCCGCGATCTAGCCCCTTCCAATCCCTCCCAGCCCCCTGGGTCCCGGCCTCAGCCCGGGGCTCCTGCAGTCTGTTCCCCTCGAGGCCGCCAGGGGGCGCCGGCTAACACCTTGGTCAGCTGTGGGTCCTCCCTGCTCAGAGTCCTCCCTTGGCTCCCGGCCACCAACAGTAAAAGCAAAGTCCTCACAGGAACCACGAAGCCCTGCAAGGTCTGCCCCTTGGCTCCCTCTCTGCCTGCTCCTCCAGCCACACTGGCCTCCTTGCCCTTCCCTAGGCACACCAGGCTGGGTCCTACCCCAGGACCTTTGCGCTGGCTGCTTCTCCTACCTGAAAAGCTCGTTCCCCAGACATCCCCATGACTCGCCTGCTCCATCCCCCTTCTCAGGGAGGTCTCCCCGGCCCACTCACACCCACATGCACCCCTGCAGACCTTCCCCAACCCCTCCCTGTCTTACAGGGCCCCACGGGCCCCCACCCCATCTGACCAACTGCCATCCTTTTGACCTGCCTTCCTGGTGGAGTGTGAGCTGCTTGGGGACAGTGGTTCTGGCCCTGCTTTTGTGCAGTCCTGTTTCCCTGGTCCCCAGAGCTGACACTCAGTGGTGCTCAGTGGATGCTTGTTGAGTGCTGGAGTCAATGAACTGCTCAGGCTCCCAGCCCCACTCAAGGTCCAGCCAGGCAGAGGAGAAATCGGTGGCTCAGCCTGTCATCCCGCGCCTTTGGGCGGCTGAGGTGAGTGGATGGCCTGAGCCCGCGGGCTCGAGACCCGCCTGGGCAGTGAGACCTCATCTCTACAATAAATCAAAAAATCAGCCGGGCGTGGTAGCGCATGCCTGTAATTCCGGCTACTCGGAAGGCTGAGGTGGAAGGATCGCCGGAGCCCAGCGGGTCGAGGCTGCGGTGGCCGGGGAACGGCCACTGCACTCCAGCCTGA